CACAGACACACACACACACAGCGTTGTACAAACCACTACCAGGATGATGATGCGATCCAGCTGGGGTTTGTCAGCCTTCCCCAGAAACAGGCAGCTGGGTTTTTTTTTCTTTTTTTCTGTCTGCTGATTGATGGGCTTAATTTAGGGATGAGGTGGCTGAGAAATCATTACTCATGTGGGCTTGGGGAATTTTCATTTAATAAACTCCAATAATGGTCCAATACAGCGTATCTCAGCTTGCTTGATTGTTGCTAAGAAACCACATCCTCATTTTAACCGTTGGTTTCTTTGTTCCTTTCTATAGGCAGCAGGCACTGTTTCACGTTTTAGCAGCATACTCTGTCTATAACACGGTAAGTTTGTGTGTGTGTGTGTGTGTGTGTGTGTGTGACATAATATGAAGAAGTCTTGTGTACACTGACTGTGCCGCAAAAAAAGCACATCAGTGGCGCAACAGCCAAGTCCATTGAGTGCCTTAGTTTCCATACAGCAAAGAACAGACCATGCACTTTAAACCCATCTGTTCTCCTTGTTTAGAGCCTTGGGTATGATCTTTTATTTATGAGTGTGGCTCTGACTGAATGTACAGCAACATAGTGTAACAGTCCAGACCACCAGTGAACCCACTTCCATACTCAGTGCTCACGCCGTTCAAACAAGTTCCCCTTTGACACTACATGGTGTTTAACAGAAATGATCCACTTTGTCCACCTCAAGTATTTATTTCTCATGACGGCCTAAGCCAGGCAGTTTCATCCTTTGTATTTTAATTAATAACATTCATTTGTAAACTTCACACTCTTTTCTTTAAAATAATGTGTTTGCAGTGCAGTTGTAGATACTGATAATTTCCCCACCATAAGCCAGCATTTGTCTCCGTTGGGTGAAATTTGGCTTTTATACCCAAGTAGGAACTCTTTGTGTCAACACATACTTACTAAAATGCAGTAAACGCATTGTGTATATAGCCTGTATCTCAACATATGCAAGTAGATTAGTATGTGTATATTAACTAATAATAAGTATCAACAGTCTGGTAGAGATAGATATTACAATCCAAAGGCTTGTGTACAGTATCTTACATCTTCCCACATGCAAACACAGTCCAAGTCTGTTTTTTTTGATTGGGCTCTGTAGTCGATTCCTGTGTTTTAGAGGTGTTGGAGCCAGAGGAAATGGGCATGTGCTGTTCCCTTTTTCCTTTTTCCCCTCTTCTCACACACCACTCAGAAGAAACTGGGTCAGTAGGAGAGAGTGAGCAAAAAAGAGGGAGGGGGGTCGGAAAGTGTGTTTATCCTTTTGCCTATGTGATGGTAGAGAAGAATGTGGAGAATGTGTAGTTTAACCTCAGTGTAATCCAAATTATATTTACTGTATTTCCTTGAAAGGATACTTTGGAGTGTCCCTTTCTAGCTGTGCAATAAATCGGCCTTAATATGGACAAATACCAAGTGTGTGTCAGGTTTTGTGTATCTGTGCTTGCCAAGGGCGATGTGTTTAGTGTAAATCATTGAATCATCGTGGAGTCATATTGCCAGTAATTCAAGCTGAAGACATGACAATACTGAGAATGTATGTTGGGCTACAGTAAATATTTGAACAACCTTTGGTAAAAGTGTTTATAATATCGTAGCTGCATCCACAGTAGGTCTGTAGTTCCTCATGTGCTGTATAACCACACATATCCACAGTCTGCCTTCAGACCACATCAGACATTCAGGTGCTCTCTTCCCCCTGCCTGTGTGTGTGTGTGTGTGTGTGTGTGTTTGTGTGTGTGTTTGTGTTCTATTAAATTAATTAATTCCTCTCATTTGCCCATTCTGTTTAATTGAACCTGTCTCTTCTCCTGTGTTCCCCCAGGAGGTGAGCTACTGCCAGGGGATGAGTCAGATCGCTGCTATCTTGCTCATGTACCTGAATGAGGAAGATGCCTTCTGGGCTCTGTCCCAGCTCCTCACTAACAGCAAGCATGCCATGCACGGTGAGACAGACAAGGCTGATTAATGTTTAGACATATCAAATATCACAACGGTTCTTATTTAAAAGGATAGAAATGTTTTAATGCAAATGTTTGAGTTGTGAAACTGTTACTCAATCCGTACATGCCTATTCATATTTGTGACTGACTCTCGCAAAATATGCACTCAGAAATGTATTGTAAATGTCCAACAACTCGCACACACATTCATACAGTATTTCTACAACCTTGGCTACACAGGCATGGTCTACAGAATTTGTTATTACATAAAACCACAGCCTTCATGTTACTGAAAGCAACTTCACCAGTTTTTACCAAATGATCACACATCTTGTCATGTTTTCCCAGTGCCCTTGATGATTATGTCTCTACTATTACCACACACCATTTATGGCCTGCTGATTTATTATTTTTTTTACTGCGCTAGGGTTCTTCATTCCGGGATTTCCCAAGTTGCACCGTTTCCAGGCCCACCACGAGCTGATCCTCTCCAAAATGCTGCCAAAGCTGAAGAAACACCTGGTAAGTTAAAGCACATCTGTATGACTGGTGCTTTCTGTCTCTGCGAGAGACATGGAGCTAACCGATTGCTTAGAAGGGCTGCAGTCAATTTTATTTGGGTCATTTCACTTGATTAATTTATTTTGCAAAAGGCCACATGCTCAGAATGTTACAGCGAGTCCAAGAGTTAGAACTATTTGGAAAGTGAGATTTATAACTGAGAACAGACTATGAGGAGTGACTTCCCATAGAGACTATTTCTCATTAATTCTTGCCCCACAGGACAAGGAGCAGATGACAACGGGGATTTACACCACCAAATGGTTTCTGCAGTGCTTCATTGACAGAGTGAGTATTTGGATTTCCGAAAGAACATGAGATGCATGAATGCTCCATCTCCAGATCTACCCTGTTTATATCTAATCCCAGATGTATTCTGCATTTAAACTGTCATTAATCAAGATATCACAGTGCATTCCTTTTTGTTTTTGAATAGAACCACATCTGCAGTTGTTTGATTACTTTTTAATTAGACTGACTCTCTGCTGCTGTGTGTCTTACATAACAGACCCCGTTCACCCTCACCCTGCGTTTATGGGACATCTACATATTGGAGGGAGAGAAGGTGCTAAATGCCATGGCTTATACAACCTTCAAGATACACAAGAGTGAGTATGATGCTGAGTATACTGTCTTCCATGCCGTGCCGTGCTAGATGAGTCAAACCAGCTTCATGCACAGATCCAGTCGGGGCTGCTTTACCACTGAGTGTTACTGTGTGGATTACATCTCACGCTGCCTCTCGCTTGGCTGCTTCCTAACTGGATGGCTTACATAATGCAAGTGGCCGGTTGCTGTGGAGAAGAATCAAGAGCTGACTTTTCATTGGACGCTTGCAGGAGCATAGCCTCAGCACATTGGTTGAATTCTTGCAAAACGACTCTTTTGATGGGCCACTCTTTACTTGGTGTCTTAGTTCGCTTTGTGTTGACAGCTTTAACAATATTATTTAGCTTCAGGATTCACCTTTTCTCATAGATTTGCATACCTCATTATATGAGTTAATTTGCCCCTGTTTTGTGTCTGCATTGTGTGTGTCCAATCAGAGCGCCTCCAGAAGCTTCAGTTAGAGGAGCTGAGGGAGTTTCTCCAGGAGCAGCTGGCTGTTTCTTTCTTCCTGCCTGATGATGTGGTGATTGAACAGTTACAGGCTTCTATGTCTGAACTTCGCAGTAAAAAGCTGGACAAACCTCCTCCAGGTGCAGTTGTGTTCTTTTATTCTTTTCAACTACATTCACCTCTTTGTCTGATAGGTCCTAAAGTATCTTTTTTTTTTCCTTTCATTGATGAATTCCCTATCCTCAATTTCCATTTTCAGCCAAGTCAGAGGAGCTGCCAAAGAAACCTCTGGGTCAAGAGAGACCAGTCCTCCTTCTGCCTCTGCAGCCAGACTCTCCTCTGGAGGTCAAAATAAATCTGCAGCCAAACAGCCAACCCAGTGCAGAGGCACAGCAAACAGGCAGCATCGCCGTGAACCAGACCCCTTCACCCGCAGAGCCCCAGGACTCCAGAACACCTCCTCTGCCTTCACCTGACCCAGTCGTAGTTCACCCACAAAGAACACCTTCTCCTTTAAGGCCTTGTAGACCCCCTCCGTTACCTCCAAAAGTAGACAAACCTTGTGCTGAGGTCGGGTTAGACAGAGATCCGAAGGAGTCGCTTCCAGAAGTTAACCAGATTGAAGATGGGGGAAAACAGGAGGGCCAGCCTGAAGCCCCAGGGACCCAGGAAAATCCTGTGGACTGGCCTCCACCCTATGAGCCCCCTGCTTTGGATGCTCTTATCCTGCAGACTGAGGAGGACATCATGGACCTTCCAGATCTGCCACCTCCACCTCTCTTTTACCCTGAGCAGAAGGACCAAAGCCCTTCAGGTAGCGAGTCACCCTGCCTGGGGACAGGCCCAGGGACTCAGCGCCGCTCTCCTTCCCCCCGCTTGGCCTCACCACTGGTCACTAAAATGAAGCTAGCACCAAAACCATGCCTAAAACCACCCACGTCTCTGGACCTAACGCAGAAAAAACCTCTACCCCCAAAGCCTTCCCATCCCCATACCTTAGCCACACCTCCCCCCTCCTCTCCCAGACTTCCTTCCCCAAAGCCAACCAAGTTCCCAGTCTCTCTCCACGTTCCGGTGACAGCGGGAAACAGACGGCCCTCCAACACCTCTCAGTATGACAACCTTTCTGAGGCTGACGACGACGACCCCTATCTGGAGAGGCTGCTGGGCTCCATGCCTGAGGAAATTCCCAGCATTCACGGCGAGCCTTCACATACCATTGAGAAAGACTATGACCCAGCGCTCTACCCTCTGCCTCCACCTCCTGTGTTCATCCCTCCTTCACCCTCTCCCGTTCCTCCCTCGCTGTGCGCACTCCCCAGTTTGCCTCAGGAGCCAGAATATGAAGGCGAGGACAGCTGGGTGAAGGACTCCATCATCCCCCCTCCTCCGCCATGTTTTGCTGACAGACTCGGTCCCTTCCAATGTAGTGCTGTCAGCTGCTCAGACACACACAGAGCCACCTCACCTGGCTACTCTAAGCCTTTCTCTAGGGGCCCCAGGGACCATTCTGCCTTCCCAGCACCACTCTTGTACACTGGGTCTCCCCCAGGTCACTCCAGGCCCTCAGGACAGTCGGCGGTGGGAGTGCCTCTGGTCCGATCCAGCCCAGACTTTTGCAGGATGCCTCCAGGTGGACAGCAGCTGCCCAAATCAGTCACATTTTGAAGTACCATTCAAGGTGTTACTGATTATGCCAATATATTTGTACTTTCTTGATGCTTGATTAGTTTTCAAAGCCATCGAAGAGGTCAAAGGCCAGTAGCTATTCCGTGTGTTAATGTTTTATGTGTGTGTGTGTGTGTGTGTGTGTGCGAACATTGATATGTACAGATTTCTGTGATACTTGCACCTTTTTTGCGAGGGCAGTTAACTTTCTGTGTCGAACCTGTTTTCAAAACTGCTGTCAGTGTTACTGTTTGCTGCACAAAAAGTGAGTGTATTAATGCACCTGCTCTTGTTGGTGTGTATGAGACCAGATCTGGTTTTTAATTTGATGGATAGTATTGAGAAATTTACAAAGAAATAAGTCGATCTAATACCAGCTACGTGTTCCACCATCGCTTCATCTCCAGTGTGTTCCAACAAAGTGTCTTAACCTGATCGCAGTGCACTGAGGGTAGCAACTCTAACACAAGGGCTTTTGAGGCTGCAGAATAAGGTCATCTTTGCTAAAGCACCCAAAGCCTATACATTTATACTGCATTTATGGGAAACTGTGAGCAGGCTCACACAAGGTAACAGTATGTCATACTGTAATGAGTAACTGTTAATGTAACACCATTTGTTTATTGCATCTTTAGGTCAATACTTGATAACAGTGGACCACTAAACCAGGTTGCACCAAAGCAGTTTGCATCCAAACGTTTAAAATAAATTGTGACCACCAGCAAGACATGGTGCAATATGTCACTAGTGTACATACTGAAGCTAGTTTAATTCACATGAAGCCCGGCCCGGTCATTTTTCCCCCCAGGCAGGTAGCAGTGGGTACTCTGTGGGTATTTTGCTGCTTTTTTTTAAACAAATGTTTTAAATAGTGTTATATATGTTTGCCTGACACAGATCTCACAGCAACAATGTACTGTTCCATGTGTATATACATGCATGTATCAAGGCTAAACAAGGTGGAAGTAGAGGAGTTAACAGGAGGATTTAGTGAATTCAACATATTACCAGCACAGAGGGAGTCAGTTTTTATGATGAATAGCTCCATCTAGTGGTCAGAAGTGTTAACAGAGTGACAGTAATTGGCTTTAAGGAGGTTTTTGGGAAGAACTGTTCTGACCATGACATACATCTATAATTCCTATTTATGAATGTGGACATTTATACATTTAGACGTGTCAAATGACACATAGTAAGCTAGACCTAAGAACCCAAAGACAGACCTCGTATTACACTGTTCTGTACTGTTCACAGACTGGGAAGAGAATGAATCAAAGATAAATGTATTAATATGCACAGCCATCTTTTAGAGCCATTGCAGTGACTGTGGTATCGGAGCAAAGGTTTTTGAGAAATGGAAGTTGAGCCATAATATACTGTACAAAGGACCTAATAGTCAAACATGTTTATATTGTCCTTTCATTCAGTTCTATATATTAAGTTATATATTACATTATATACTATGTCTAAACATCAGGTTTTGCAATTCTCTTAAGTATTCAGCTGTTTTCCAATAGAGTTCCAGGTTAATGCTAAAAAACTATTTTTAAGGAGTGACGTTAACAGATGTTTTACAGTTTGTTCATGAACTTTGGTCTCGCCGCTGCGATTCTTACCCAAGAACGTGGATTTTGGCCTGCACACAAATCTGTTTGGCTTACTTGGAGTATCTTTAGTCATGTGACCTGACCACCAATTGTACATCACTGCTCCTTTTATGGATCTGGTTGACATCAGTGACTCTGGGGCTCAGACCAAAGCTTGTGTACATTTATGCAACTACTTATTTGAGTTTTATAAAGAGATAAACCATAGTTGTCTGTTGTCTTCTCTTTCCCACAGAGACAATCCACATCTGGTTTCAGATATTTATTGCACACCCACAGAATTGTGTAGTCTCACTGTACATATCTTAGGTTCTTGCTTATGTAACATAAAGTAAACAAACGTAAGAGCAAAGGCGACTTAAATATTCTGCAAAGGTATATTGTCATTAAATATAATAAGACGTCCATTAAAATATACGAGCTGTACTTCATCATCCATGTATCGACTCCACACCAACACCCTGTTCTATATATAATATACATGCCTCATCTGCCAACCCCCTGATTTTCTCCAAAAGAATTAAAGATTGGTTAGTACAAAAAAATAATTCCATTATCACATCTTTGGTAAAAGTAGTCTAGGTCAAATTGAACTTTAGCTGTTAATGACAAAAATATAGTTCTTCAAAGCCACAAGCATCATTATTCTAAAGATGCTTTTTGATAGATCATGGCTTTCAAAAAATATAACTGCATTCATGTAATGTTCCAAATTGCATATTTTGTATGAGACAAAGCATCATTTCTCAATTCTGTTATATTTAAATGCAAAAATGCAATCTATGCATTGTTATTTCAGATTATTTTTACCCACATGTAATACACAGTATCCAACGACAATATAGAAACAAATCTTATGATTAAATTATCCATATTAAAGACAGCGAGTTTGTCCATAAAATTCAACATTCCAGTGTAAGCAGCTAACTGAAACTGCATTCAACTTCAGCACGAGCACAGTCCATCTGCTGAGGGTGTGTTGACTGGAAAACCGCCCTGCCAGTAAGCATCTGCTGCTCTCAGACTGGTGAGTGAAGCCAAAACTTAGGGAGTACCACTGGATCCTTCATATCCTCAGCTGACCCATGAGGTTGGAAAGGGAGACGACGCTGTCCCTCAGTTTGGAGTCTTCCTCCTGTCCGAGCGACACTCCGGCCAAGCGCGTGGAACCGTTTGATCCCATGATGCACGGCAGGCTGAGGAACACCTCTGTGCCTATGCCACCCCAACCCTAAAGCAAACGGAGAACACAATATTTTCTAGAATCACATTTCTATGAATATGTCCTTTTAATATTTGATATAGTAATAGTAAGATCTATCATTTTGTCAAACGCTGATGCTGACTTCATACACCCCTGGAGAATTAACTGACACATAATGCATGATAACAGTAAGGTTGACAGTGACAATAATGCAGTTGTTACCTGAGCCAGTGTGGAGACGGAGTGGGTCTTCATCTTATCTGTCAGGACACTGTTTGTGATGTCAGCAACAGACAGACCCATAGACCAGGACCGCTGACCTCGATTCTTCATCATCTCAAACCCTCTACAGAAAAAGATCAGCATCAGAAAAACGTGTGCTTTAAATGCAGAAGCCGTCATACATTTGAGTATCATGATCAAGGAGAGATACCTGTACATTTCCTAATCCCATCAAATTATCTAAACTCCTAAAACTTTCCTTCCTGTGTCCAAAATTTCAGATCCGGTTGATTCATCTACACATAAATCCCTCACTCCAGGTCATGCTAATTCATGCCAGTACCTGTCTAACAGTGGCTTGGTAGCGCTGGATCCTGATGCAATCTCTGGCTGCACACTGGAGCTCAGCCCAGTGTTACTCATCACTGCAACTGCAAGACAAAAACACTGACAAGCTCAGTCACGTGCCTCATTTACAAACAACATACGCAATTAGCATGGAGTGCAGTGCTACTGGTCGTGCAAATACAATTCAAAACAAAAACAAATACAAAGGCAGATAAAAAAGACAAGTGAAGGAGATAATGAATGAAAGAGGAGTCTGAGGAGTCACACGTTCACCATGACACCTTTGTGTAAATTTTTAATTGATCCTTTCTGACTCACCTTTGTTGTCTGAAAGCTCTCCTATGACCCAGGCTGGTTTGTGAGTGTTCAGGTTAATATCCAGAATGTGACTGAGTCGCTCTGAGTCCAGGTTACACCCTGCTCCGATCACCCGAGTCGGCGGCAGGCCACTCTGCCTCCAGGCAACGTGGGTCATGATGTCCACTGGAATTGGACAAGAAAGAAAACAGAATGAATGATACGTAAAAAGTTCCCCTCCCCTCAAAAATATGTTTTTTTTCCTGTTCATACAGTGTGATGTTTGAGCTTCATTGTGCAGAGTAATGTTTGTGTTTGTGAGTTTGACACTAAAAGGAAGTTTTCACATTCATCTGCTGAAAGTGGAAAATTTCTCTGCGCTCATTGAACATCTGATTTTAGAGGGCGGGGCCTACGAGCATGATTTGTGACATCACAAATAGTTTGGAAGTCAACCCTGGTCCAATTTTCAACTTATACAAGTGTGATGTAAAACCTTGAAGCCACCAGTGCACATACACTGAGAATGGACTTTACA